GAAGATAGGTTATCCCTCACAAGTCCTGGTGTGGTCGGAAGGAGATAGGTTTTCCGAACGAGACTCCCGTTGAAATTCTGTGAGATTCACTGGCGATCAGGTGAACAAGTGAGTCGAGACGCCTAAATTCTTCAAAGAGAATATCGGAGATGTTCCCGTCGAATAAATGTCCAAGAATTGTCGGCAAAGAGCCAAACTTTAGCATAAAGTCATTGCAGTGGTCAAGTGCAGACAGATTAAGCTGCCGACCAATTACAACGGGTGACGACTGACTAGTAATATCATCTGACTTAGATTTAGGTAAAGCTTCTGACTTACGTTTAGTTAGGCCATGTTTACTTACAAGAGCCGAGAGCTTACGTCGACCAGTGACTTTTGGTCTCATAATGTCTCGAGGCAATTTGCGATAAAGAAAACTTCTGGCAGACAAGTTGACTGAATTTCAGCCAGGGGCTTACGATGTAAAAATAAATAACAAGTGTTCGAGAGCAATCGGATGCACAAAATGAGAATTGCAGAATGCGATTAGTGAACAAAGGGCAGAGACTAGCAGAACTCGAAAGGAGATGGCAGCAGGCAGTTCTGAGAGAAGAGGCCTGTATTTAAGGAAATTCAACCAAAAAAACAAGTACTAAAATTGTTAGGTGTCACAGAAAAACCACTTAAAATAATATCCCCCACTTATCTTCAAAATTAAAACCAGCTCCACAGTGATTTTTTTCATTAATCTTTTCCAAACCCTGACAATAAATTACTGATGAAATGTCTAAGATGTACTCCGTTGTTGAGTTCATCAACGGAAAGTCTGTCGCACTCGTAACAAAGGCGTGGTTCTATGATAAGAATCGCGTCATATGGCTGAAGAATGACAGACGGCGAAACATTCTTCTCGAAAGTAATGAGCAGCCGCCGAGTGGGACGAAAGTATATCCTGTCAACTTGACTCTGGATGCGGCCCGGCGGCTGGCACATAAGGCCGGGGACATGCCGGACCTCTCCTTTTCGTAGCCCATGGTGTAGGTCAGAGGCTTTAGAACGAAGTAGGATTCACTTGTAATTAAGAATTTTTTGTAGATTTGTCCGCAGGTTAACCTCCGATTCGGATGATGATGATGATGATGACGAGAACATAGTGGAACGACAGCCTGTAAGGCGACTAGCTGGTTGGCTGTCGCCAGCACCCATACTTCAACAAGTAGCAAAAAGTCTGATGGTCTGTAGGCCAAGACTTGAGGAAAACGTACCTACTACCTCGGCCAGATGGAGGAGGCCTTCACCTTCAGTAGTACCCTCACTTCAGACTGCAAACGAAAAAGGATGCTTCTGTGGCGCAGAGTGACATATGTAAATCTGTGCACAGGGAATTTACATCTGTGCGGTTAGGACGTTCTCTACGCCCATGGATTAGATTCGTCTAGTAAAAAAACTAGAGAACTTAGTCCATAATCAGATGGTCCATCATGAGGAATTTCGACAACATTGCGCCCTCATGGTTGAAATACTTTGGCAAATACATGCCTCCACCGTCCTTGTCGGTCAAAGGTCTCCCGCACTGCGCTTGCCGCTATGCACGAAGGACGCATTCGAAGACTTCAAAGGGAAGCTAAACGATGATGCCGATTTTCGGGATGAAGTGGTATGTAAATATGCAGCTTTATTTATTCTCCATGAGTTATAGATGAAACAAACTAATTGAGTTAGCGGACGTAACAACAAGGAATTCGCGTGGAATATCCTCAAATAATCTGCCAGGACCACCCCGTTGCCATGACTACTGTTTGTGGTGGCTCAGTAGGAAAGCAATCCTTTATTGGTAGTCCTTTGTATGCACTCCTGTGTGGTAAGTTTTCCTCATTTGTTAGCCGTTCAGATGCCATTTGCCTGAACCCCACCTTTGGTGATTGCGGCCACGAAATGGTTCGCCATAATGTCATTGATTAGTTTCATGGATCGAGGGACCGCTATGGCAGCGAGGCTAAACGCCGGGAGGCAATCGCAGGAAGTAGAGATGATACACATTGCCCCATACTGTCTCCATCTGAAGACACGTTTATTGCCATCGACGAAATTTACATACTTAAGGTTAAATATTCATACTACTGCGGTGAGCTAAATTAGTATGAAAACTGTCACTTACATTTTAAAGTATTACTTCCTTCCGCCGACCATATGTTTTCCCAACAATTGTTTTTCTTCAACTGTAGGAACCAGCCGTCGATGCGAGGACTTCTGAACGCCCAAATGAATGGCATAACATAAGTTAAAGTCCACTTATATACTGGCACCGACATTTATTATGATTGTACATATTTTACAATTCCTTTTTTGTTTCTACAACAAATAACTCATTCACATGAATTTGCCTCGCGTGCATTTGATATTGGTTGCCGATTAGTGGGTAAATGTACGGCGGGGTCACGGTGAGTACTATGTAATACCGTAGTACTCTACGTACGCAAGGTGGGTTTCGACGTGTAACGTGGGAACAGTGAGGCACTGCGCCTCAGGGGACTCGCCATACAGGACGATATTTTAGTGGTGCAAATGTGGGCGGGATGTGGCGTCCCCTGCGCATTTTTCGCTGGCGGGGCCAGGCTGGGCTATCGTGTTGAATGCCCCGCCACATCTCCGCCTAGCCCCTTCATAACCCCCTCCACCCCCGCCATTTTTGATGGGGTTAGGCGGGGCTGGTGCTGGCAGGGGTAGTCACGGTTTGCAAAAAATTCCTTTGAAGGGAGTCGAATAGATCTATTAGAGCACCTCCTGGGCACCGTTAGTCTCCTTTCAATACAGGCAAAAACCTAAACCAAACTCACCCCTTTCGCCTGCACTTTGTCTTCTTTGAATTTAGGTGTCTGCTTTGTCAATAAGTCGCGATTGCATAGTTTGTTTTAATTTGAACAATAGAACATGATTTCCAAGGCAAAATAATAGCGAAGTTCAAAAAATGCACAATATATGCATTATGGAGAATGACGTGTAGCGTTTTGTAGGATATGTGGTAATGAATACATCGCCCTTTTGTGAGACTTGAAGGCCTTTGACATCGGCCTGCCATTGACATTGCGTTCGAGTTGAACAAATTAGTGTCTGATAGCCACCTGTTGTCAAAATATTTGGGCATTGCCCAAGTGTTGCTTGGATTACCAGCTGGAAAAGATGAATATATATCAAGAGCAGTGAACATTGAGGGGTAAGTTATAGTCCAAGATGTCCGAAATATTGAATTATATATCATATCTTTCTTGCTAATGTTTAGTATGCATATACGTATATGCATATATTGCCTAAGTACTTAGGCGATATCAAGTCGCGTATCTTATAAGATAAGAAATTTGAGTAAAAATTTGATCGGTGGGTCCTTTTGAAATCGCAACGTGACTGTAACCTACTCCTGAATCTGCGCAGATTCCAGCGCCGGAATTCCTTCCAGTGATGTCTCCATTTCTGGTACCTAGGTACTTTACGCTCTTCCTCTGCATTACCAAAGGTGGATTTGCTCTATCTTTCTCGCTCGTTAGTTTGTGGCCATGCTCATTCGAACAGTAAATGTCTGTCATACAAGGCGTCTTCGAAATTTGCCACGACTAGCCAATTCTCGCTCTCAAAAACATTTTCTATTCAAGAGTTAGGTTTAGACACTAAACGGACGCTTCGGACACAGTTTATCACCACATCTTTGTGGCAACCACCGGCTTCATAAGAACAAAGATTAACTGGGAACGAAATAATGTATAGTGCCTGTCGCAGCACTATTGCCTTAAGCTTCTGCGCCCGAGTCCGTCTATAATCGTCCTGACTCCGTCTTGCCGTTGAGCCACTGCGAGTGAGATAGAAGGTGGGGCAGTTGCTATACAAATTTACTTAGATTGCCATCCAGCACATGCCCAATTCATCGCCCCTATTCGTCGCCTTTTGGGACACATGTTGGATATAGTCGTTCTCGATGGTGAAAATTTCGCTGGCGTTTTCGGGGATGCATTTCGTGCTGCGGAGGAATGACAGAGAAACAGAGTGCCTCGAATACATCTCGCCACACTCTCATTTTACCAAGAACGGGGCAGTTTGCATACACCCGATTTCGTGCGTTTGCTTATGCATCATGCTCACGCCATCTTCGCTTGTTCACGTCAAGTGTTCTCGTTTCACTCGCCCGTCCATTTTAAACAGACGCCACATCTTGCCGAAACAGGTGTCAGAACATTAATCAAGTATTCCTTGACGCAGCATCTAGGAGTTCATCTGTCAACCTAACTCCCAAATCTGCAATTTAGTGGACTCTTGTGCTACAAATATGTGATTGCTTGTAATTGCAGCAAGAGACATTCCTAGTCAATCTAAATTTTACAGAGACTAGTCCTGGGATGATCTTAATATCTATAGGCAAACTCGACGAAAATGCTTAGCGTACATAACAGCAATGAGGAAATATGGAAAATAGGCCTAAATCATGTAAAAGACGTGAAACCTATGTGATAATTTATACCGCCAGACACCAGAGTACACGGTGCACTCGTTATCAAAATTCGCTTCCTAATCTAATCGTCAGTCCTCTTCTCTACCTTCAGTTCCATCTACGTCTTCTGGACTGGTTCTCTCAACTTCCTCAGTCTTCAATTGCTGCCACGTGCGGCCTAGTGTGATTAAGAATTTGAGTGGATAATATCTGCCAAATGAACGTACCCTCATGTTTGGATGGAGAACGGTGTGATCTGCCTCATCAAACCGGTGGCGGCCCAGTCCGGTGGACAAAAGCGACAAACCCGCCGTAAATGCACTTTGTATTGCAAGTGCTCCACACAATCCCGCTCGCGACTAGCATACAGGAAACAAGTCATCCAACGCAAATCAACGACTCCTCTCGATGCAACCACCATTGCCGACGTGGAAGCCTCTGCTGCTGGTTTCTGCCTTCGGCGCAAACGATCACGCCAACACCGGCTGGCTGACGATGCTTGCAAGCATGATGACGCTTTGGTAGCCCTACCGGCATAACTGCTTCCTGCGGCCATTGACCATCTTCAGGCAACCTGCAGGATAACAAGACGATTCTCGTTAGAAATGCTTCGCTGTCTCTCTACACAGTCAAAGTAACACCACGGTCGGCCTGCGTACCCTTTCAACTCCTCCGTCAGCATTGCACAAAATGCATTTGTGAAGGTTCGGTGGAAATTGGTGACCACCGGACGAACCTTGTTCTCCACGTTTATGGCAACTTGCACTGCAGTGCGAATATCGGGCTGTGATATGTAGGAGCAGATGAGTGGATGAAAAGTCCGTGTCAGGCAACTTACGCGGCGGTTGCGGTGATTATGCAGATGATGGGACCTGATTACGTCGAGTTCCATCAAATCTTCTCTTGGAAGGCATTGTGAGCCCTTAACGGGGTAGTAGTCTGTTATGTATATGGGGCGTTAGGGTGCACCTACCTGACTGGCAGCCTGCGTTCTGATCATCTGCATATAAAATGTGCGGAATGAAGCTTGGAACTGCCTGAGGTGTCGCATAATGCAACTTTGCAGCAGATTCGCTGGAGCTTGTGTCCTCCCTCCTCAAAGATGGACTGAGGGTCTTTGTGTCCACTTTTCGATCGCCATTGAACTTTTTGTACTTTTTGCGAAGTTTCTGTAGGTTGGTCTTCAACCATCGCATCATGTACATTTTCAGCTGGACGCTGGACTTCTCCGACCTCCTATAAGCTGTCTTGGTGATGGATGACACCAGACCGTCTAAAACCCAGAGGTAGGGATTAATTCGGCCAGTCTCTGCATCACCCATGTTCATTGCACTTTTGTAAGCAGCGACAAGGGCTTGAGACATCTTGTCGTTGCGAGTTGTTCGAACACAATGACAGAGGACGGGGTGTTGCAGCCAGTTGCAACAGTGCCTTTGAAGGCTGCTCGATCGCAAGGGACGTATATGCGGAGAGCGTTGCCGCCCACGTGTTTGTTAATGTTTTCGTTCAATAAATTGCCCTTTGAGCAGGGGCACCATGTGTGCAACCTGCCGACTACTTTGCCTATTTTATGCTAAGTGGTTTTATTTCAGTAAGCACGAATAAGACCGCGTGCGAGCGTGTTTAGGACAGATGGGACGTGTGTAGTATGACTGGCGGAGATGCCTTGGAGTGTGTAGCGACTGCGCGGAGTTGATCGTGGCTGTAGTTTGAGCGCTGTTACCACCAGGTCAAATCCTATGCTGGAAGGAGAAGACAAACGGCACGAGAATGAGAAATTTATTGTGCACAGAACCCGGATTTGTCCTTTCCGTTGGCAGTGATCACTAGCGAAGCCCGGGCTGGTATTGACTGCGTCCAGTCATGCCTGAGAGTCCCTGGGACAGTGGTGGCAGCCGCATTTGTAAGCTCGTGGGTCAGGCGCAGGTGGTCTCCAATGTGTGTGTGTGTGTAGGTTTGTGTTGCATTTTCCGAGAGGGGGGAGGGTGTGCAAGTGGCTGGTTGCAGCGGGTGGCGTGTTCACGTGGCGCACGGGTAGCCCCGACGCTGTGAGGACGCAGTTGTGTCCGAGCTGAAGTCGGCAGGTGGATTCAGGTCAGTGCGTCCGGAATGGCTCGCTGCAAGTGATGAATGACACTGAAGCAGCAAGGTCTTGAACCAGGCCGGTCATGATTCCTGCCCGCTACAAGTGCAGAATGTTGATTGAGTGGACGGAGTGAATGCCAGGGAAGGCATTACCTCAATCAGTGGTGAAGACGAATTTCATTACGTGAATATATTTGTACACATTTACGCAAGATGTTGGGATTATTTGCCTTTGCGCAAAAATTTACCCTGTTTAGGCAACTTGCATGTTGAGGTGTTAGCCGTCAGCGCTTTATCGCATGCTTACCGACAGTAGTGTCAGTCAAGAGACAAATCAATTTCTATTGTGCAGAGTGCTGTCCTCGCATACTGTGGACTACCGTGTGAGTTTTATGTGTTGCGATTCCACCCCACGCAATTCCTAGTGAGTGTGACCTAGTTAGATTAATCACACATGCAATTGCACCTCAATGCAGCACCCGGCGGTTCTACCGTCATTGCCAACGATGCCCACCGTGCGCACCACATCGAGGTGAGAGCCGAGACGGTGAATTATGCATGATTTAGTGAGTTCGGACGTACGCAGCATCTGCCGCACTCCCACCTCCTCCACTTGGGCCCACTGTCAAATTGACCAGAGATAGGAGAGTGCCCAGGTTGCTGACACCACCGGGGGCGCCCATTGTCGTGCCACCACACCCCGTCAGGATCCCGTGGATTAGGAGTTTCATAAAGGTTACGTTGAGAAGGAGCCATTGCAGCCTGACTTTTAGACCACCAGTTGGTCGTTACACATAAACGCACACTGGCACGACTGCGAAGTTTAAGTTATCGTGACAATTGGCAACCTTCCAAAACGCTGCCTTTAGCGTCACGTGATGTCTTCATTCGTCTCTGATCGTTTATAGTGAGGAAAATGAGCCGAGTTTACTTCCTCACTCGCCCTCGCGTTCCCCAGTACGCAGCCACTGTTAGGGCCGGTCATTTGGCAGGTGCGTGAATGTGCGCGGTGACAGACATGTCCCGTGACCTAGTCTGCGCACGCTGCATGCACAACCTGGCCCACTAGACACAGGCACCGGTATTTCACACAACGGAGTTCGGCTGGCATACATCTCACATGCGTGAGAGTGCCATAGGTCACATCAAGAAGGAGCCGTTTCAGCCCGGCACTCATCCCACCAGTCCGCCACTCCACACAAACACACATACAACTGGGTTGAATGCGTGCACTTAGATGGGGCGTCAGTCAACAGCCTTCCAAGCCACGGTGCTTGACGCAACGTGATAGTTTTAGACTGTAATCACACATGCAGCAGAGGAGCCGCAAGGAGAAGGAGCCGAGACGCACACTTCACAGTTGCGTGGGAGGTAGCAGTTGGATGCTTGTGATGGATGATGTTGAGTTGTGGTGCGGATGCTGATGGGAGGAGATGGATTGGTGTTGTGTAGCCGGCACTTATCTGCCACAGGTCATGTTGTCATACAGGACGGCGCCTGCGATCTCGAATTAATGAACACAGACTAACTGTCCGTCGCCATGACTCACTGTCCCTCGTCTTTGCACGCGCACTCCAGTCCGACCACCGATTCAACTGGGATGACACTGAGGTCACCGCCACGGCCGACACGAAACGGGCGAGAGAATTTCTACAGGCATGGTACTCGAATGCGGACAGCATCAACCGCCACGTTGACCTAGACGCCCATTATGAGGGCCTAAGATCACGCCTCATTAGGCCGAGCCTCACGCCGCATCAGCAGCCACTAATCCAGGCGCCTTTAGTTCCGCCAATCTACCATTCTCCCTCCCCCTCCCCCTGCAAGACGTGGAGCCGTTACTGCTCTCTTCCCCCTACCGGCTCAGCACCCAGCGTGACTCCCTGTCCGCATTACTCTTCACAGGCTAATGGTCTGCCCTGTCGCATCAACTATTCCAGCATGACTGTCTCACTTTATCTTTTATTTTCATTTCATCTGACGGCGGGTTGGTGTCACCAACTCGAGAATTCACGAGCATAACTCGAGTTCTTGCGGAGAACCTCTTCCTTTATTATTATTATTTGCGGTGCGGGTGCTAGTGGGAGATGTGATGTTTCGCAGCCAGCGCTCGTCTGCCGCAGGCCTCCGTGAGTGCACGGGTGGCCCTACAGGCTCGTGTGGTTTGTGAATGTGCGGGTATAATGAGGGCGCTTGAGAGGCGCATGCGTCTGGTGTATGTTGGTGCTTCAAGCACTGAGTCGTCAGTCTCCGTGCGATGGATTCGCATTGACCGCCCAATCCTACGATTGAGGTGGATATGGGGAACAGTGTGGACCCGATGGATCGGTGGGTTCGGAGTCAGTTTGGGTGACAAGAGTGGTGGTGATGGTGGAACCGCTGACGGTGAGCGCAGTGGATGGTGGGGTGTGGGTTGACCTAGGCGTGACTGGTGTGCAGGAAGTGCTAAAAGAGTCGAGGTTGCAGTAGATTCCGCTCTTTCACATTTGCATATGACCTAGCAGGCCCAGGGGGCGAGTGAATATGTGGGGGTATTGAGGGCAGTTGAGACAGATGCGGCAAGTGTATGTGGGTGCTGCAGGCACTCGTTAGCCAGTCTCTGTGCGATGGATTCGCAAGTTACCGTCTCTACGGGTTCCTCACACTGTGAAATTCTTCCCCCCCCCCACAAACGTGTCGGCATCCCCTTCAACGTCCGCATCCCTGGAACTCGTTCAACTCGAACATCAGTCGTTGTGGGTGGAGGGGGCGGGGGACAACATGGGGAAAAGCCACCGTGGGTCAGTGCTCTTCTGCATTCTATTCTTATTGACCCGAGATAACCTGACCCATTGTAAAGACAGGAACCAATCTCGGATAAGATTACGAAGTACGACGTTTGAATGAACGGCAGAAAACTCTGGTTACTCTCGTGGCGTGCGTTCAGTTCAGTTTATTGAGGCAAGTAGCTTTACGCACTTTAGTACCCTACTTACAACTTAAAACTCGTTGCGGTGTACAGAAACATTATCTGCACTGAAGTAATTTAAACGAGCTCATATTGGTATCACAACATGAGAGTGAGTCTGGGGCGGTGAACTCGATATCTCATCGCTCTTGGTCATTTTGGGACGTAAATATGTCAAGGTTCTTTTTAAAATTTTGTATCGATTGAGGCATCACATAATCTGCAGGGAGGGCAATCCATGGTTTGGCCACCCGTACAGAGAAGGAGGACTTCCGCACATCCAACCTTGCCTGCTGAGTGTGCAGTTTAAATGGGTGATCTCAGAGGTCAGTCGTGGTAGCGAATTCAAAAAAGCCCTCAGAGGCCAGGCTGTAGACCAACCGCTTCACTACGCGGAATGCTTACTAGAGATCCCCGCGAAGTTGCCTACAACTCAAGGGGAAGGTGTCCAGATTTATTGAGAGGGTAGCATCCGGAAGTGCGTTTTGACCCCCAACCATCCTCGTGGCTCTCCTATGAACCCTTTCGATGTAATTTTGATCTTGAACAGCCCGCGGTCTCCAGGCTTCCAGGCAGTATTCCAAGTCGGTTGAATGAATGATCCGAATGTCTTTGAGAAAGCGTCCCATGTTTATCTACAGTCTCCTTGTCCGCATCTTCCTTTCCGGAACCCATATTGGCAGTTCGATAGCAATTCGTGGACTTCCAGGAATTGTATCAATTTATTCTTCATGATCCTCTCCATAACTTTGCGCAGAATGTATGTCAAGCTTGTGGACCTGTAATTTGTTATCGATGCCTTGCTCTCTCCTTTGTGTAGTGGAGTGGTATGTATGTGTATGTGTATATTTGAAGGGCTAGAGGTGGAGCCACTGATGACTCTATTCATGTACAATGCCTTCGCAGATCCGCACTCAAAGTAAAGTTGCAGACATTTACATCATGATCGGAACACAGCACAATCGTAATGATAAGGAAGCGCTTCTGTTTACTGTAAGTCAGTACGGAAAGATTGTGCATGACAGTGTTTTTGCAGAGCTGGCTGTGAGTAGTCGTGCTGTAAAAGCCGGTTTCTGTCAGAAATCAAGCGAACAAGTTTTCTTTTAAACAAGCACATTCTATCGGTCGTCGCGATCACAGTTGGTAGCGAGCTCCACTGTCGGGCAACCTGCTGGCTGAATGAAAACTTCCAACGGCCTAGCCTTGTGCGTTCACTTTTGACTTGTACGGGCAAACTCAAAAAGGTTTTCCATCCTTAATGAGCTCTCTTAGCCACGGACTATCCAGAATGTCCAGAGTAGACTGCAGTTTAGTTGTCTATAAGATAGAGGGAAGAAACCGTGCACATTCAGTCTCTCTTGGTACGACAGATGCTTTAGACCGTCGACTATCTTTGTTGCTCTGCGTAACACCTGTCTGAGTACGTCAAAATCCTTCCTCATCCATGGTGAAGCTGCTGGCGTAACATACTCCAGATGGGGTCTTACAAAGACGCCAAAACGTCTTTCGAAGAGATCGGGAGGGGATATTTTAAATGCACGCCTGATCCTGTGTAAAGTGGCACACACCCTGCCCCCCACCCCCCAACGACTGATGTTCGAGTTGAACGAGTTCCAGGGATGCGGACGTCGAAGGGGATGCCGACAGGTTTGTGGGGGGGAGTAGAATTTTACAGCGCGAGGAACCCGTAGAGACGGTAACTTGCTAATCCATCGCACAGAGACTGGCGAACGAGTGCCTGCACATTCACAAACCACATGAGCCGGTAGGGCCACCCGTGAACTCACGGAAGCCTGCGGCAGACGAGCGCCGGCTGCACAACATCACATCTACCACTAGCACCCGCACCGCAAATAATAATAATAATGATGAAAAACGAAGAGGTTCTCCACAAGAACTGGAGTTATGCTCGTGAATTCTCGAGTTGGTGACACCAACCCGCCGTCAGATGAAATGAAAATAAAAGATAAAGTGAGACAGTCATGCTGGAATAGTTGATGCGACAGGGCAGACCATTATCCTGTGAAGAGTAATGCGGACAGGGAGTCACGCCGGGTGCTGAGCCGGTAGGGGGAAGACAGCAGTAACGGCTCCACGTCTTGCAGGGGGAGGGGGAGGGAGAATGGTAGATTGGCGAACTGAGGACGCCTGGATTAGTGGCTGCTGATGCGGCGTGAGGCTCGGCCTAATGAGGCGTGATCTTAGGCCCTCATAATGGGCGTCTAGGTCAACGTGGCGGTCGATGCTGTCCGCATTCGAGTACCATGCCTGTAGAAATTCTCTCGCCCGTTTTGTGTCGGCCGTGGCGATGACCTCAGTGTCATCCCAGTTGAATCGGTGGTCGGACTGGAGTGCGCGTGCAAAGACGAGGGACAGTGAGTCATGGCGACGGACAGTGAGTTTGTGTTCATTAATTCGAGATCCCAGGCGTCGTCCTGTATGACAACATGACCTGTGGCAGATAAGTGCCGGATACACAACACCAATCCATCTCCTCCCATCAGCATCCGCACCACAACTCAACATCATCCATCACAAGCATCCAACTGCTACCTCCCACGCAACTGTGAAGTGTGCGTCTCGGCTCCTTCTCCTTGCGGCTCCTCGGCTGCATGTGTGATTACAGTCTAAAACTATCACGTTGCGTCAAGCACCGTGGCTTGGAAGGCTGTTGACTGACGCCCCATCTAAGTGCACGCATTCAACCCAGTTGTATGTGTGTTTGTGTGGAGTGGCGGACTGGTGGGATGAGTGCCGGGCTGAAACGGCTCCTTCTTGATGTGACCTATGGCACTCTCACGCATGTGAGATGTATGCCAGCGGAACTCCGTTGTGTGAAATACCGGTGCCTGTGTCTAGTGGGCCAGGTTGTGCATGCAGCGTGCGTAGACTAGGTCACGGGACATGTCTGTCACCGCGCACATTCACGCACCTGCCAACTGACCGGCTCTAACAGTGGCTGCGTACTCGGGACGGGGAGGGCGTGTGAGGAAGAAAACGCGGCTCATTTTCCTCACTATAAACGATCAGAGACGAATGAAGACATCACGTGACGCTAAATGCAGCGTTTTGGAAGGTTGCCAATTGTCACGATAGCTTAAACTTCGCAGTCGTGCCAGTGTGTGTTTATGTGTAACGGCCAACTGGTGGTCTAAAAGTCAGGCTGCAATGGCTCCTTCTCAACGTAACCTTTATTAAACTCCTAATCCACGGGATCCTGACGGGGTGTGCCGGTACGACAATGGGCGCCCCGGTGGTGTCAGCAACCTGGGCACTCTCCTATCTCTGGTCAATTTGACAGCGGGCCCAAGTGGAGGAGGTGGGAGTGCGGCAGATGCTGAGTACGTCCCAACTCACTAAATCATGCATAATTCACCGTCTCGGCTCTCACCTCGATGTGGAGCACACGGTAAGCATCGTTGGCAATGACGGTCGAACCGCCGGTTGCTGCATCCAGGTGCAATTACATGTGTGATTAATCTAACTAGGTCGCACTCACTAGGAACTGCGCGGTGTCGAATTGCAACATGTAAAACTCACACGGAAGTCCACAGTTTGCGAGGACAGCACTCTGCACAGTAGGAATTTACTTGAATCATAATTGACGCTACTGTCGGTAAGGATGCGATAAAGTGCTGACGGCTAACACCTCAACATACAAATTGCCTAAACAGGGTAAATTTTTGCGCAGAAGGCAAATAATCCCAACACCTTGTGTAAATGTGTACAAATATATTCACGTAATGAAATTCGTCTTCACCGCCTATTGAGGTAATGCTTTCCCTGGCATTCTCTCCGGCCACTCAATCAACATTCTGCACTTGTAGCGGGCAGGCATCGACCGGCCTGGTTCAAGACCTTGCTGCTTCAGTGTCATACATCACTTGCAGCGAGCCATTCCAGACGCACTGACCTGAATCCACCTGCCGACTTCAGCTCGGACACAACTGCGTCCTCACAGCGTCGGGGCTACCCGT